GATCTACATGCTTGGCCCCGGCTGGGTGCCCAGCACCCTGGCCGCCCTCATCCTGGCCGTCTCCCAGGTGACCCAGCACTGTCTTGCAGATACCTAGACTGACTAACAGCCACGACCTGGCACACGCGGGCACTTGGGAAATGTTTGCTGAAAACAAGCATTGATCAGCAAACAAAAATCATTGCAGCAAACACAACATTTCTTTGTTTCTTTGTCTGTAAACAAAGAATGACTAGCCAGTGACCCCATGAGGCCAGCTTCATTTTAAGTGAACTAAGGAAGCTCTTTACTTAGTTACCCCGCAGGGAGCCCAGGGTCCAGAGCTGGAAGGCTGCTGCCTGCAGCTCCATGACAGTCTTGCAGCCCACCTCCCAAGCTCAGCTGTCCTTGTCTCTTAAAAGAGGAATCTGGGGACTTCCCTGGCAGTGCAGTGGTTAAGACTCACTTCCACTGCAGGGGGTGCAGGTTCTATCCCTGGTAGGGGAACTAAGATCCCACATGCCCTGCCGGGCGGCCAGAAAACAAAAACTAAATTAAAAAAAAAAAAGAGGAAGCTGGCCCACTAGGGTCTAGAGTGGAACGCCAGGTGTGGGGGTGTCCTGCGAGCTGGGAGGGCTGGCTGGCCAGGGCTCCGGGCTGGACCCCCGGAGGCTCCCTGCCACAGCCCTGTACCCTGCGTCTCCCCAGGCCCAGAGCTGGTGTCTGCAGCACGACCTGGGCCACACGTCCATCTTCAGGAATTCCCGGTGGAACCACTTGGCCCAGCAGTTTGTGATGGGGCAGCTGAAGGTGAGGGTGGGGGCGGATGGCGGGCAGCAGGAGGCCGAGTGGGGGCGGGGCTGCATGGAGTGGGCGTGACCGCGTTGGTGGGCGTGGCCTGCCCCACCCCTGAGGGCCCCCTCCCCCGCAGGGCTTCTCTGCGCACTGGTGGAACTTCCGGCACTTCCAGCACCACGCCAAGCCCAACATCTTCCACAAGGACCCGGACGTGACCGTGGCGCCTGTCTTCCTTCTGGGGGAGTCGTCCGTCGAGGTGCGTGGGGGGACACGCTCAGGCCGGGCCTGCAGCGGAAACTTGGTGGCCCCAGAGCCCCCCAGCCCCGCGGTGGCCCCGCCCCGTACTCTATCTAATTCTAGGCTGAGCCCCTGTCCCCAGGGTGCCCCCTCCCCACCTCCCAGTGGCTAGAATCCAGAGTTGCCTTGGCCCCTTGGCCCAGCCAGCCCCCTGGCCCTGCCCCGGGGCGAGGAGGGCCTGGAGAGCCGCCCTCCCCAGCGGGCTGCCTATATCCCCACAGTACGGCAAGAAGAAGCGCAGATACTTGCCCTATAACCATCAGCACCTGTACTTCTTCCTGAGTGAGTGTCCCCTTGTCCTCCTGGGAGTGGGGGCATGGATGGGGTGAGGGTCACGCCGGGGCCTACTTCGTCCACTGCACGTCTCTGGTCACACCAGCCTGCAGCCCATACGGCCAGAGGCGGTCACAGCCCTGCCTGCAGCTTTCAGAGTTCCTTCCTGCCCTCAGTCAGGGCATCCCGAGCCCTAGGGCAGTTGTTGGGGCCACAAGGTGAGGATTAAAGGGATGTATCAGGCTGGTGCCAACCTGCAGAAGGGGCATGGGGGAGGAGATGGGGCAAGGACCAGCCTGGAAAGGCTCAGACACTGGGGGCCTGAGTGAGGACCAGGCCTTGTGGGTGATGCAGGCTCATCCTTGCCTGGTGGGACCAGCTTCCAGCCCCCCTGGAGGAACGGAGCCCCCTCCCCCTCCCTCTGGCCGGCCCACTCTGCACCCCCATCCTGCTCCTGAGCCCCGCTTATGCCCCTCCTTGCAGTCGGCCCGCCGCTGCTCACGCTGGTGAACTTCGAAGTGGAAAATCTGGCCTACATGCTGGTGTGCATGCAGTGGATGGTGAGCGGGGCCCTGCCAGCTCCCCTGGGCATACTGCTGTGGCGGCAGAAGGTGGGGTGTCGGGGGCAGCCCAGTCTGCCATTGTAAACAGGTGCGCATGTAGTGATGTGGAACATGTGTGCTTGAGAAGGGGGAGTGAGTGTGTGCATGTGTGGTTGCCAGGTCAGGGTGTGGTGTGCGTTTCTCACAGTGAGAGATGAGGGTGGGGACCCTCTGGGCCCCCTCTGCCGGGTATTTGTCTTCTGCACAAGGCTTCCTTCATCCCACATCCTTGCACAGCATCCATGGTCAGTCCTGTGAGGCTGGCAGGGCGAGGACTTGCCCCCTTACCTGGCTGAGAAACCCAGGCCCGGAGAAGGGGTGGTGATGTGCCAGTCTGAGGCACATCGAGCCGAAAGGATGGGGATGACCCCAGCTCCTCCTCCCGGCTGCCTCTCGGCCTCCCCATCTTCCTCCCTCCTCTCCAGGACTTGCTCTGGGCCGCCAGCTTCTACGCCCGCTTCCTCTTGTCCTACATTCCCTTCTACGGCATTCCTGGGGCGCTGCTCCTCTTTGTGGCTGTCAGGTATGGCCAGGTTTGGCATGACAATCAGCAGGGCACCCTGATCACAGACCTCAGTGTTTCCATCTGCAGAATGGGGACAGCAGTACTGTCTCCCTGGGCTGTTGAGTGGCAGCATCCAGGGGGTGGCAGGTCTCAGGGAAGCCATCTGGGGCGTCCACCCTCTTGAGTAGGGCTGCTCTGGGCTCAGCCTGGCAGTGGCCTCCACACCACTTGGCTGCTTAAAACACCAGTGGGGAGGAGTTGCAATCCCATAGTACAGATTGGGAAGCTGAGGCTCATAGTACAGATGGGGAAGCTGAATGGTCAGCAGGATGTGGGGCAGTGCCTTGAACCTCCTCTCACAGGGTCCTGGAGAGCCACTGGTTCGTGTGGATTACACAGATGAACCATATCCCCAGGGAGATTGGCCATGAGAAGCACCGGGACTGGGCCAGCTCTCAGGTGGGCAGCCGGGGCGGGGCCCATCCTGGGGGTAGGGGTGGGGTCCCCAGCTGGGAAGAATGGGGGCGCTGATGGGGCTGCCGTGGGGTTGGTGCTCTGTGCCAGCCCCCTCACCCGTGCCCCGCCCACTCCTGGCAGCTGGCAGCCACCTGCAACGTGGAGCCCTCACTCTTCATCGACTGGTTCAGCGGACACCTCAACTTCCAGATTGAGCACCAGTGAGCACAGACCCAGGGGCAGGGGGGCAATAGGGGTGGGAGTGAGGCCTGAGCACCCCCCACCCCATGTGCCATCTACTCCCGGGGGGAGGCCAAGACATCTGCCCTGGACTTCCCGGAGGGCCTGAGAGAGGTGGTGAGCGGGTCCAGGGGTGCCAGCACACTGTCTCCCCCGCAGTCTCTTCCCCACGATGCCAAGGCATAACTACCGCAGGGTGGCCCCGCTGGTCAAGGCCCTGTGTGCCAAGCATGGCCTCAGCTATGAGGTGAAGCCCTTCCTCACCGCCCTGGTGGACATCATCAGGTAAGGGCCCTCCGCTCACGGTGGCTCCCCGGGGCCCCCACCCACCCCTGGGGCCCGTCAGCCCCGTCCTGAGCATCCACCTGGCTCTCTGGAGTTCTCGCAGGTACCTCTCTGGGAGCTGGCATTCAGGGCCTTTCCCATCAGCCTCTCTGCCCTTGGTCTGTGACCCCAGCCCCGTCCTTCCCAGTTTCCACTCACACACACAGGCCCAGGCCCGGTCCTCATCAGTGAGCAGAACTTCCCGACATCCCTGCCTTCCTAGAGCTGACATCCGAGCAGGGGGAAACGGAAAGCAAGCAGTTAATTACAGAAAATAAGTAAATGACACAAAACGTGAGAAAGGGAGAAGTGCTTCAACAAAAAACAAAGCAAAACCACAGAACCTTTGGGTGGGTACAGGGGAGGAAATGGGGGCTGCCAGGCAGAGATGCAATTTTTAGTTGGGTGGCAGGGTGGTGGTAAGAAGGCAACGTGTGAGCAGAGACAGGAGAAAGGCTGGTTGTAGAGACATCTGGGGGCAGCATATCTGGGGCCGGGAAGTAACTGTGCAAAGGCCCCGAGGCAGGAGCATGCTAGACGTGTGGGAGAGCCACTGAGTGGAGGAAGGTACATAGCACTTGGGTTTTGGAAAGATGCTCTGACTGCAGAAACGAACTGATGGGGCAGGAAGAGCAGAGTGGGGTTCCTGCAGCTGTTCAGGGGTGACCGGGCTCGGGCCTGGTGGTACCCTTGACGGGAACAGAGGCCAGAGTCTCAGCCATAGCTCTTCCACCTCTGTGCCTTAGCACAGGCTGTTCCCTTTACTTCGAGGCCCTTCCTTCTCTTACTGGTGTTTGAATTCCTCCTTCATCACCCTTCCCAGCCCAATCCTCGAAGCCCCTGCCACTTGGCCTGGCCCCTTTCAAACACCTGGCACAGGGTTTTCCTAGCAAGTTATTGATGCTTCTGGTTCCCCCGCTTGATGTCAGACTGGTAGTGGGCACATTCCATGCCTTACAAATCTCTGGATCGCAGGGTTCAGCAAGAGGAAGCGACAGAGAGAGCCGGGTGAGGAGGGACAGACCCACCCTGGTTCCTGGCTGGATGTGGCTTGGGCCCTTCCCCCTCCCACCCAAGGTCTAGGTTCCACTCAAGTTAATGAGGGGGTAGCCGCCTCTCCCAGCCCTCTCCTCCGGCCCCACCCCAGCTGCCTGCCCATCTCCACTCACACTCATCATCGTGGGGGGAAGAGGTTAATATCTTGCCATTGAGTCCCTCACATCTTCCCTATCCCCACCACCCAGGTCCCTGAAGAAGTCTGGCAATGTGTGGCTGGAAGCCTACCTCCATCAGTGAAGACCGCAGCGCCTGGGCCCCAGCAGCCACCAAGCCACCCAGACAGGCTTCCTCACCTGCCCCACCTCGCCCTGCCTCAGGCTGGAGGCCCTGCCTGTCCTCTTGGGTCCCCTCCCCATCTGCTCCACAGCCCTATGACCGTGGCTCTAGACCCAGGGCTAGGGGCCTGGTGTATAAAGACACACAGTGAGCGTGACATGTTTTCCTAGAGCAAAAATTTAGGGGAAAAAATGTTATTTTTATATAAAAACACCCAGGTATGTTATGGAGTAGAATATTTGCATGGATCTTGGAACTGGAGTTCAGGTCCTTGGGCCATCAGAGTGTTGGGAGGTGAGAGGGTGGTGATGGATGGTGGCTTTCCGGGTTGCCCTCCTCCCTGGGTCAGGGAGCTGGCATCTGCCCTGAGCTCAGATGCCCTGAGGGCCTGGTCCCTTCCTGTTCTTCACCCAGTCACCAGCAACCTTGGTAGTTCACTTCAGGCTCACCCCACTTTACTCCGTTGCATAGTTGGACAGGGAGGCTTCTCTGGTGGCTCAGTGGTGAAGAATCCGCCTGCCAGTGAAGGAGACACAGGTTCAATCCCTGGGTTGAGAAGATTTCTTGGAGAAGGAAATGGCAGGCCACTCCAGTATTCTTGCTTGGGAAATCCCCTGGACAGAGGAGCCTGGTGGGATAGGGTTGCAAAAAGAGTCAGACCAGACTTAGTGATTAAACAACACAGAGAGACAGAGACCGAGGCAGACAGGGGCCGAGGGCCATGTGTGGGGGCACCGCCCGGATCACAGGAGGCACCCCTGTCTGGCATCTGCATTGTCCTGATGGCTGAGGGGCCTTAGAAGGCCACTGGCGGGGGTCTGCTGCTGAGCTCAGAAGTATACCTGGCATCACCCCGGTGAGGGGGTCCACAGGAGGTGATCGGGATCTCCCCTGCCCCATGCCTGCCCAGGACCTCGTGCTGGTTTCTAGCCGCTGCAGTGAGCCATTCAAGCAGGACCCTGTGTGTGTGTATTAATTTCCCTTCAGTTGTGTCTGTCTCTTTGTGACCCCAGGGACTGTAGCCTGCCAGGCTCCTCTGTCCATGGGATCCTCCAGGCAAGAATACTGGAATGGGTAGCCATTCCCTTCCCCAGGGGTTCTTTCTGGCCCAGGGATTGAACCCGGGTTTCCCGCATTGCAGGCAGATTCTTTACCATCTGAGACACCTGGAAGTCCAAGGACCCCTGGAACGGGGCTCTTTCCATCCCTGGAGTCTGAGAACAAGGTGTGGTCCTTCACTGAGCCTTGGGCTCCTCATCTGGAACATGGGTGTGGTTGACCTGGGCCTGTGGTGTTTGGACACTTCCGGGGGGGCCTTTGAGCTGGCTGTTGGGGCTTCCTGAAGGTGGGAAGGAGGGAGAGCTGGGCTGCTGGGCCCCTCTGCTCAGCAGCTCCGAGCCAAGTAGATGGTTTCATTAGAAGTGTCAGCAGCTTGAGAACAAACTGGAAACGCTGAGCTCGGATTTCTCTGAGGGACTTTCTGGCCCGGGGGCCGGAATCTCCCCACCAGCTGCAGGATTGCCCCCACTCTTTGTCCCCAGGGCCCCAGGGCCCCAGACTGGGTTTCCTACAGAAAGTGGAAGGGGGCAGGTACTGCAGTTCTTGTCCACTCTTTCCCTGGACCATCCAGTCCCACTCCACACCGTGTCCCGCTTTTCCCTAGGGTCCAGCAGCCGGGGCGGGGCGGGGGGGCAGTCCTGGACTCCAGGCTGGGACCGTGGGGAAGTTAGGCAATCTCTTGGAGTGCTAGTGTGACCTCCTAGGGTGACAGAAGAGATACCTGTGGAAGGCTTTTTCTGAGAGCCTGCAGCGACAGGGCTGAGCCATTTATCTTAAAAATGTGTACAATCCATGGCCTTGGGGTCATCACAAGCTCTCACCTCACTGGCTGCCTCCCAGCCTGTTTCCTTGAAAGGTACCTCCTACCTTGAAAGTAAGTCCCACTTTCAGGGCCCCTGCCCAGGCTGTTTGTTCTCTTTGTGAGTGTCCCCTTCCTGTGGTCACCTGCTGACTCCTGGTGCCCTGTGGGCCCTGGGATGGCAGTCCCCCAGGGCAGACAGTCAGTGCCTTTACTGTGGCGACCCTGATGCCCTTATCAGGGAAATACTAGCGCACTAGACTCAGGGTCAGCAGGCCCTCTGCGCCTCCCGCCCCCGCTCCCAGCAGGAATGTTGAGCCTGCAGCACCACCCAGGGGCACCTGGAATAGCTGCATGGATGTGGAGCAGGCTGTGCTCCGTGCTGCCCCTGGTGGTGGCCGAGGGCAGTGCGCCCTCACGTCTGCAAATGGGTAATTGCCTAGGAATATCTTGTTTAAGGGGGCATCCCTGGTGGCTCACAGGTTAAAGTGTCAGACTGCAATGTGGGAGACCCGGGTTTTATCCCTGGTTCTGGAAGATCCCCTGGAGAAGGAAATGGCAACCCTCCAGTATTCTTGCCTGGAGAATCCCATGGACGGAGGAGCCTGGTGGGTTACAGTCCACGGGGTTGCAAAGAGTCAGACACGACTAAGTGACTTTAAAAAAAAAAAAAAAAACTTGTTCAAAGGACCAAGTGATTTTGGTATCACTGCAGACAGTGACTGCAGCCACGAAATTAAAAGATGCTTGCTCTTTGGAAGAAAAGCTATAACAAACCTATATGTGTTAAAAAGCATAGACATCACCTTGCTGACAAAGGTCCATAGTCAAAGCTATGGTTTTTCCAGTATTCCTGTATGCATGTGAGAATTGGACCATAAAGAAAGCTGAGTGCCAAAGAAATGAAGCTTTTGAACTGTGGTGCTGAAGACTCTTAAAAGTCCTTTGGACTGCAAGGAGGTCAAACCAGTAGAATCTGAAGGAAATCAGTCCTGAATATTCAATTGGAAGGACTGATGCTGAAGCTGAAGCTCCAATACTTTGGTCACCTGATGCGAAGAACTGACTCATTGGAAAAGACCCTGATGCTGGGAAAGATTAAGGGCAGAAGGAGAGGGGGTGACAGAGGATGAGGTGGTTGGATGGCATCATCGACTGAATGGAGGTGAATTTGGGCAAACCCCTGGAGATGATTAAAGACTGGGAAACCTGATGTGTTCATGGGGGTCACCAAGAGTCAAACACAACTTAGTGACTGAACAACCACAAGAGGACCACTGGGGAAGCCCCCTGGCCTCAATTAGCCACCCCTTTGCCTACTGCGTGAAATCCTTCACTGGTGGGTCTTCTTTGCCCTTGTTCCTCCTCGTCCCTTATACTAGAATCCCTGGAGCCAAGTCATCCACCCCTCTCCGTAGCTGCGTTCCCCCTCTGTCTAGGTTTCTTTTGCAGTCTCAGGGCTTGGGCCCATCTGTACAAAGGAGGGAAGGGCCTTGGTAGAGCCGCTAAGAAAAGCCATGTCCCTGCTTTATGGTTTGCACAGTCTTGGGCCCAGAAGAAAAGCGAAAGTCTTTAGGGAAGCCTTGTTCATTTGCCCCTTCAATCAGCCAGCATTTATTTACTTGGAGTCTTCCACGAGATGGCCTGGGCAGATTGGGGAAATGGAAATTCACAAGAACCAGCCCATGCCTGTAATGTTGGGAGTGGCTGGTAGGTCACATGCCTGAACAGGCAGTGGGTCTCTCCCCCCACCCCCTCCCCACACCTCCATTCCAGAACACCTGGCTGCCTCTGTCTCCTTGGCCCTTTCCAAGCCCCCGGTACTTGTCATCTGTCACCTGGATACTTGCTCTTGAAACATAATTTGGAAAAAAGACTCAAATGTCTTCAGAATTCAAAGAAATGTATTTCTAATAGCAGAGGGCAATAGAGATATGATCTGTTTAAGTCCTGGCATGCTAGGCGTTCGCTTGTTCTGTTTATGATGGGCTAGTTCTGGTCCTGGGGCCTGCCTCCACCCTCCAGGCCCTGGTTCCTTCACAGATGGGTGTAGGTACCCCACTGGATCCATAGCTAATCTTTTCCACCTCAGACTCGGACCAGGGGGCTCTTTGAGAAGCTGCGTCCCGTCCAGAGGGGCACACCTCTCCAGGGATGGCACGGCTGGGACAGCTGAGTTTTGATTGCCCCAAGGCTCTGTATCACATGAGTGGTGGCCTGTCACTCCCAGGGCAGTTTGTACTCAGTCCAGGTGGCTGCCACCTCCGCCCTGCCCCACTTGGCTCACCAAAGGCCTCCTCTTGGCTCCCAGTGGGTCAAGAGGGTCTGAGTGTCCCACTGGAAGCCTGGGAACTTGCCAGGCTAGTGACCGCCGCTGGGGCTCTAGGTCCACACCCAGCCCGGACTTCCCTGCCAGCCCCTCCTCTGGGCCCAGTGCCCAGCGCATGCCCATGCCACCTGCAAAGCTGATACACTTTTATCAGAGTAGACACCTTGCCATGGTGAGCTCTTATCCCCTCCACAGGGACTAACTCCCCTCGTCTCCACCCACTCCACCCAGCCCCTCGCTCCTCTGGGGAGCAGTCTGACTCTGATGTGGGGCAGGAAGAGCCCAGGCTCTGGAAAATGGCCCTTCCCTTGTGGGGCAGCCCTGCTGGGGGAAGGGGAGGGCCAGGCCGGGTGAGGGGCTGGAATTCAGCTGCCCAGTCCTTTCCTTCTGGCTTCAGCCTCCTTCTCTGTGAATCGAGGTTTGGTTCTGTGACCACCCTGGGGGCTATGAGTTTGGCAGAGGGTGGGGATGAGAAGCCCATGATTTGTGCTGGGCAAGAGCCTCAGCAGAGTGTGGGAAAGGAGGGGCAATTGGGCAGAGAGCAGGAATGAGTTTTCCCCAGTCCCTGGCCCCAAGGGTAATGTGTGAGGACAAGGTTGGGCGTGTGGGGGAAGAAGTCACAGAAGGTCTAGGCCCCCATCAACCTGGGCCAAGATTTGCCAGATGCCCTCAGAGTGGCAGCAGAATCCTTCCCACCAGTCTCCCTCTGCTGGGATTCTGGTTGTCACTGGTGATGAACGCTGCACTTACAGCTGGGGGCACTTACAGCTGGCTGGAAGTGTGTGTGTGTGTGTCTATTACTGTACTATCTTGAGACTCATAGTGCTGGGCCCAGCCCAGGTAAGACAGAAGACAGGCACAGGTAAGAGGGATGGAAAGTATGTTCCCCAAGGTCTCCCAGACTCGAACGCCTCTGATGGGTGTCGGGGCAGGCCAAGGCCAAGGGCTCACAGGGTGTTGCGAGATGACCTGTGCCCACTGGGGAATCACGCACTAACCGGATCAGCTGGGTGTCCCTGCCAGCTACACTGAGGTCACAGGTGAAGCAGCAGAGAGGACAGGGGTCTACTCTCGAGCCCTCCCCCACCCTGCTGGGAGCAGATGCAAGGCCAGGTGGGGAGCTCCTGAGGTTCTGGCTCCCCCGAAACCTCTTGGCACTTCCCTGGTACTCCCAGCTTGATCTGCCGAGCTGAGCCAGCCCAGAGGGGAGGGCAGAGAGCACTATAGGGGCCACTAGGAGGCTAACTGCCCTGGCACGTTTCCTGGGACTCTTCCCAGGCTTGGGGGACCCAGTGAGCCGGTGCGTGGGCACAGGGGCTCTCCTCGGCCTTTCTGACCCTCTGCCCCCAGAGCTCGGTACACTGACCAGGAAGGGGTAGGCCAGAGGTTGGCAGAAGCCAGTGACCCGGGGCCTGCGGGTGGTCCCTCAAGAGGAGGGGGATGGTGAATGAGGATGTCAGGAAGGTGGCCTGTGCCCCCCACAGACCTTTGGAAAGCCTCACTCCACAGAGTCCTCAGGAAGAGGAAGGAGGGCTTACTAATCTGAACCATTTGCCCAAAACTCCTGGCCTGATGTGCACTTTAGGGAACGGGAAAGGAAGTTCTCTTTGAGCAAAGGTGTGGGGGTGGGCTGAGGAAAGTGCTCCCAGCGCAAAGCAGACCCCCTTCTCCATACTCCATCGACACCCCACCCAGCATCGGCGAACAGGACATGGAGGAGAATCAGGCTGGCGCGAAACAAGGACGTGAGAATAAAATCACATTTATTTCCAAAAGTGTAGAGGTGGGGAAGCAACATGATAAAAATTAAGGTCAGTTCCCTATGGATCCATTCTGCCTCAGGGGAGGGACAGTGGCTCTTTGGGCTGGTGTGTTCTCAATGGGAGGGCTTCAGGCAGGCCATCCCTCATCGCCATGGCAACCCTCAGGTCCATCACCAGTCAGAGCTGGTCCCTCCTGCCCCGCCCTCCCCTGGAGTTATCTACGGGTTAGTGGGTTAATTTCCAAATGCAGCAGCTCTGGATCTTCCTAGTGGCCGCCAGGTTCCCCACCCTCTCACTTTCTTGTCCCCTCAGCTGTCTGGCCTTCAGCCCCAACCCCTCCTTGTCCCATTGGGTACCCCCACCCCCACCTCACCAAGTTCCCAGCTTCTCGGGGTCACCCTCCTCTGGGGCTCCTTCCTTCTGTCTCCTGACAGTCAGGGCCATGGAGGCCTCAGTGAGTGAGCCCAGCTGCAGAGGGGCTGGGGGGTGGGAACAGGCAGATTGTCCCAAGGCCCAGTCCCACTGCCACCCCCAGCAAAACATCCTGTAGCAAAAGCTTAGAAAATGAGTAAAAGACACGAGAGCGTGATAGACCGGGGAAGAGCGTGTCCACACGGGCAGCCCCAGCGCGGGGAGGGGCTGTGCTGAGCTTCTGGGCTCCAGCGCCCACTCACAGCCTGGAGGGCCTCAGTCCCCACCAGCCAAGTGGTCAGGGACTGGCTGGCACCGCCTGGCAGGAACGGAGCGCTCCAGGGGGCAGTCCAGTTGCTTCAGAATCTCGGGTCTCCCGACCAGAACAAACATCTGAGCCTACAGGTCGGCTCACCCCTGACCTGGCCATTGCTTCTGCTGAGCTCATCTGTGGCCCCGCCCCCATGGTCCCGGGATCACAGGCTCTGGACTTGGGAGGCGGCAGGATGGAACTGCTCGAGCCCTGGGTCAGAGGGCTCTGGTGGGGCCCGGACATTTCCCTGGGCCCGGAGGCTTGATCTGGCTGCAACACGGGCAAAGGGAGCCTGGCGTCAGGGCCAGACATCTGAAGAGAAAGTGGGGCCTGTAGGGGCGCCCCCAGTACTGACCCGGCGGTGGGAAGGAGACCCGGGGAATCCAGCACATCACCCCACAGAAGGGCAGAGGGTGGGCGGCTGTCCAAGGCGGTGGGGCCAGCCCACAGGCTCAGGGAGCCATCCCACCTGCTGGCTGGGACCCAGCCCTGTGGACCTCAAGAGCAGGGAGAAAAGAGGGTGGTGTGAAGCCCGGAGGCCAGGCTGCAGGGGCTCACAGGCCGCAGTGGTGCGCATCTGGTCTGGCTGATGCTTCAGGATGGAGGGTGGAGGGGCGGGACCCAGGAGGGAGGGTGTGGGAGGGAGGCGTGAACGCCTCAAAACCAGACAGCAAGAGAGGAGAAACCGAGCCTCAAGTCTATGAGCCGCGCCTCACAGCCTCCCGACACCTCTCTGAACAAAACCCCGCCCTCCCCTTCGGCCACCACCCCCACCGGCTCCCCTCCACCTTCCCCATGGGCGCCCCGAGGGCTGCAGCTTCATTTGTGGAGGTAGGCGTCCAGCCACAGCTGCCCAGACTTCCTCAGGGACCTGGGGAGAGAAGGAAAGGGGCGGTCAGGGAGTAGGTCGACAGGGGCCAAGGGTCGACTGGGACAAGGAACCCCAGGGAATCGGGCTCTGCCAGCCTGGGAGCCTCCTCCCAGCTCTCTATCAGGAGCCCAGGGCCCCCCCGGGGGACCCCTGAAAGGACCCAGGGAGAGACCTCGTCCAACCCAGACAGAGGCCAGGCAATCCCTCGCGACAGAGGGGCCAGGTAGGGGCACTTGTGCCAGCAGGGCCCCTCTGGTCTCCGCCTCGAGCGGTCCCACGACCCCGTGCCTCCCAATCCCCTCCTTGTCTCCCAGAGACCTGGGGCGTCTCTGACACCCGTGCCCGCCCCTCCTTACCCGATGATGTCTTGCAGGGCCCGGAGCAGCGGCTTCTCCTGGTACTCAATGCTGTGCTTGGCGCACAGTGACCTCACCAGGGGGGCGATCTTATGCAGGTTGTGCCGGGGCATGGTGGGGAAAAGGCTGGGGAGAGCGTGTGGGGGCGGACGTGAGGGCTGGCCCACCGCCTCCACCGCCCACAGGGAGGCTGGCCAGGCCCGGGAGACCCTGTCCGTCTCTCCCTGTGTGCCCGCAGGGGCGGCTGGCCTGCAGCGAGGGAGGGCTGGGCCTCGGGCTCCCTGTCAATAAACGGACCAGTCGCCCGCCCTGCCCGGCTCATGGGATCCAGGGAGATGCCAGGGTCCACGCACAGGGGTGGGTGCCACTGTGATCACATGGTCCGGGGAACAAGAGCCCCTCTCTAGGCCTCCAGGAGGCTCGTGGGTGGTGGTGGGGCAGAGATACAATCTAGGGTCATTGGGGGAAAGACAGAGAGAGGGAGCCCTCGTCTGCTTCCCTCTGCCAGGTGAGGCTGCTGGCAACTTGCCTCCACGATATGCCCTCTGCCTACCGCCCCCCCACCCCCGCCTGCGCCTGTGCTCACTGGTGCTCGATCTGGAAGTTGAGGTGCCCACTGAACCAGTCGTTGAAGAAGGACTGCTCCACGTTGCAGGTGGCTGCCAGCTGTGGGGAAGAAGGGGGTTGAGTGGCTGGGAGCAGAAGCACAAAGGGAGCCCTCTCCTTTTCACGAGGCCCAGCCTTCCCCGGGTCTCACTGCCCTGCCCCGATTTCCCACTGGTCCCTACAGAAGTTCCCAGCCACCCTCTCCTGCCCAGCTCTGGGCCTCCCAGTGGAAGGACACCGGCAGCCCCAGGGAAGGGCAGGACAGTGCCGGGCCTACTCGGCAGCCATGCTCCTGGGGACGTGGACCTGGGCTCCGTGGGCCGCCCCCCCAGCAGCCAGCACTGGCCGCCCTCACCTGGCTGCTGAACCAGTCGCGGTAGGGCTCTCGGTCAATCTCCATGGCGATGTGATTCATCTGTGTGACCCACACAAACCAGTGGCTCTCCAGGAACCTGAAAGGGAGCTCAGCTCAGCGTGCAGCCTGGCGGCTCAGTCTCCACAGGGTCCGGGGAATCGGTGGGAACCAAGTGTCCCTCCCGACCCCAATCAGGGCAAGGCGGGTACAAGTGGAGGGGGTTGAGTGGAGCCCCTTGATGAGGGGCCCGGGCAGAAAGTGGGACTTCTGAGGCTTTCCTCGGGGGGGCCTCACATCAAACCCCCATCAGCACCAGTGCTCGGGGGCCAAGGGGCTAGTAGCCAGCAAAACTCAGGCACCTGATGAAGTTGAGGAAAAGGATGGATCCCAGGACACCATAGAAAGGGATGTAGGTGATGAAGAAACGGGTGTAGTAGCTGATGGCCCAGGCCAAGTCCTGCGGAGAGAAACGCAGTTAGACGTGGGAGTATCTCACCCTCCTGGGCATGGGGTCCCAACCACAGGTGTGCACACAGCAAGCCTGGCTCACTGCTGAGTGAAGGCGGCCAAGAAACCCTATGGGCCTCCAGGAAGCTGGACACCGGGTCCAGCTAAGGATCCGAGGCCTGCCAGAGGACGGTGTGTACGACAGTCTTTGTGTCTAGGAGAAGGCTGAGAGGTTTTAGCAACATGGAGGGGCTACAAGCTCTGCATTTAGGGAAATCCGCAGGGACGGGGACTAGCAGACACCGGGAGTTGGCAGCTCGTTCCTGGTCCTGGGGATTCTGGAGGTGCACCATAGTGTGCACACACCCCCAACACCCGTAGGCTCACAAACTGCTCATCGACCCCCAGAGGTCCTCACTCTAGCGGCACAAAGGCCAGGGACGCCGTCCATCACCCACCTCAGGACCCTCCCAGCAGCCTGACAGGGCTGGTCCTCTTCCCACCCGTGTCTCCTCCCAGCCCCTCTTCCGTTCTGCACTCTCTTCCTGGGCAAGCACCCCCCACCCGCCGCAGCTGCCTCCGTGGCTCTGCAACCATGGCAACCGGAGAGAACTGTCTTAGCTCCAAGCCCACTCTGTCCTCCCATGCTAAGCCCTCCCATTCCACCCAGAGTAGCCACAGGGACTGGCGACCACTCTGCTCAGCCACCCTGACCCAGCGCGTTCCCACCTCAGGGCCTTTGCACTGACTGTTTCAGCCCCCTCATCACTTCTCCCCAGACATTCGGCAGGGTAGCGGTCACAGCAAAGGCTCCTCCACCCTATCCTCTGTGTGTGCTGTCTCTCCAGTCGTGTCCGATTCTTGGCGACCCTATAGACTGAATAGCCCACCAGGCTCCTCTGTCCATGGGATTCTCCAGGCATGGGCGTGGGTTGCCACGCCCTCCTCCAGGGGATCTTTAGGACCCTGGGATCGAACCAGTGTCTGTCTCCTGCATTGGCAGGTGGGTCCTTTACCACTAGTGGCTATTCTGTGTAGCTTGTAACTTTCTGAGCTGTGCCTCTGGTCCTCCATCTTCCCTATGGGAAAAGACTATCCCCCTGAGATTCTACAGGCCTGAAGGTGTGGCAACAAAAGCAGAGCTTGCAAGTCTGAGCTCTGACAACTCCGCTCTGGTCCTGGCACCAGTTTGCTGCCATAGAGACCTTCCTAACACGTAAGCTGGATCACGCCACTGCCATCCGCAAAGCCATCACGAGCCTCCTGCCCCGCCGGGGGATAAAGGACAAAATCCAGCCTCCCAGTAGGATGCACGGGTCCCTCACGTGCCTGTCCACCATCCTGGCCTTGCCTGCAGCCTGTCACGTCTCCCACGGCCCAGCCGTGCCGTGCTGTCTGTGTCTAGCTGGATCTGCCTGGAGGCTCCTTCTCCCCTTATCTGCTCAGCAAATTCATCCTTTACAGGAGCTCTGTTCAGTTAATCTCCACAAGCATGCAGTGAATACCTTCCCTGTGTCAGGGGCTGAGTTAGGTGCTGGAGGCAAACAGAAGTGCTTGAGAGCCCCTTGTCTGGAAGGACAGACTTTAGACAGAGATCCCTTCCATAGCATACAGAAGGGGAAACACAGTTACAGGGGTGACAGCAGCATGGCATGAGGTCCCGACCCTGTCCTGATTTAGAAAGACCCCCATCGGGAGGTGGTGCCCGAGATGGGCTGGGACACAGCAGAGGTTGGCCAAGCAAAGAACAGTAGGATGGATGTTTGCAGAAATGACAATGCATAGAAAAGTCCGATGAGGCAAGCAGGGAGGGGATATTTTACATATAGATTATATGATCCACATACTCCAGCCCAAGCGCTCCAGGTCGGGCAAGAGACCATGGCCAGGTCACATCCGCCTGGGGGAGACTGGCCTCTATCTTGGCAGCAAGGAAGAAGACCCACTATGCTTTAAATGACAAGAATGTGGTTCCATCTAAATCATAAAAATAGGTCCCTGCCAACTGGAGGTGAGGAGATTCGGTTATTCCAGGAGCTCAGGGATGAAATGAGGGAGGCCCAAACCAGGACCCCTGGCCCTGCCGAGGGGGCAACAGTCTCCAGGACTCTAGGAGGCAGGGGCAGTTCTGTGCAGAGACTGCTTGGTCATGGTGAACTCAGGCTGGTCCTGGGTGTCGGTGTCATTGGCTGGGGAGGAAAGGGGTGGGAAGAGTGGCTCGGAAGGGGTCTGAAGGGCCAGAAGTGAGTGGAGGGCAAGACCTCGGGACGGAGGTGGTCTTTAAGGGTGCATGTGCGACTAACAAGTCCCTCAGTCATGTCTGACTCTTTGCGACCCCATGGGCTATAGCCCGCCAGGCTCCTCTGTCCATCGGATTCTCCAGGCAAGAATACTGGAGTGGGTTGCCATTCCCTTCTCCAGGGGACCTTCCCAACCCAGGGATTGAACCTGAGTCTCCCACATGGCAGGCAGATACTTTACTGTCTGAGCTACTAGGGAAGCCCTTAGGGGGTGGGGGAAGCCAATATTTTAAGTTCTGTTTCTACTTTTCATCACATTCATTTTAATTCCTTTTTTGTGTGCGTGCAGTGCAGTAGTATGTACACATATATTAATGGAGGCGTGTGCCTATTAACTGTGGTACAAAATGATGCATGACCATGGACCACTGGTGTCAGGGGTGAAGGGATAAAGGTGATAAGGGAGACAGAGGTGGAGGAGAACCAGTAGAGGCTGGACTTGGAAGCCAACAGGGAGAATTTCAAGAAGGAGCGGATCGTGGGATCAGATGCAACCGACCTCCAGGAAGTTGAGGCCTGGGGACAGCTCCAGGATGTAGCCACTGGCAATGCTGGTTGGCCTTTGGAGCTGGACAGTTCTCAGCAGTGCAGGGGGGTGGGGGTTGGGGGAGCTGTCCCAGGCATGGCATGGTGCCCATTAGGTGCCAGGTACACTCCATCCCCGCTGAATTGTGACAATAAAAAATGTCGCCCTGGACTTCCCTGGCTGCTTAAGTGGTTAAGACTCTGTGCTTTCAACGGCAGCGGCCCGGGTTCGATCCCTAATCAGGGAACTAAGATCCTACATGCTGTGAGGTGTGGCCAAAAAAATCCCCCAATTCTCCCCAATATTGCCAGTGGCTCAACAGAATTCTTCCTACTGAGGACCACCACCCCAGGTCCCATCTGCACTTGGCACCTAAGCTCACAGTTACCATAAATCAGAAAATCACAGCACAGAGCATGCCTCTGTCACGCAGGCCTCTGAGGGGTGCACTTGCGTCTGGCGCTAAGCCTGGTTAGTCAGCTACTGCTGTGTACTAGAAGCCCAAAGTTGAACCCTACTCCCTGGCAAGAGAGCCCTGACCCCAGGGGCCCGATCAAATATCCCTGGCTGGGCCACCTGAGCCAGTTCAGGTATAAAGTCTGTTTCCCTTTCCTACTGTGCCTATTTCATGCTTTGTCCTTCAGGGAACACACACAGTGAAAAAAAAAGGGGGAGGATTAAATATTCATGTCAGGCATCTGCCATAAAAGCAGATTAGAGTGTCCCGAGCAGCGCTGTCCTCTTCCACTATGACTCCTCCCAGGGCTCAGGTGAGCCCTGGTGAAAACAACAGTCTCCACAGGGGCAGGAGAGCTGGGTTCCAATTCCCACCCCCTCACTGACCCAGAAACTCCTTCTCTCCGGCCCGGATGCGCCTTAATGGCCAGACACAGCTTCCCTGATAGCTCAGCTGGTAAAGAATCCACCTGCAATGCAGGAAACCCCAGTTTGATTCCTGGGTCAGGAAGATCCACTGGAGAAGGGATAGGCTACCCACTCCAGTATTCTTGGGCTTCCCTTGTGGCTCAGCTGGTAAAGAATCTGCCTGCAATGCAGGAGACCTGGATTTGGTCCCTGGGTTGGGAAGATCCCTTGGAGAAGGGAAAGGCTACCCACTCCGGTCTTCTGGCCTGGAGAATTCCATGAACTGTATAATCCATGGAGCCGCAAAGAGTCGGACATGACTGAGCCACTTTCACTGTGGGTGGCAGGGCCTAATTGTTCCTGAAGCACAGCGGGTACTGATGAAAGAGCATGCCCGACAAGCGTGGAATACAGGTTTTACCAGCACAGGGCTGGCAGGGACTTTCAAATCCCTCCTCGTCCCCAAACACTCGCAACCTGCTTCTGAGTCCCAGGCTGGCCCTCTTAGCAGAATCAACAGGCACTTCTGCCAATAATACCCAGGGAAGCATGTAAGACAGAGTACTTTGAAGTCCTCCAATTGCTATACAAGCACGAGGACCTGTTACTGAGTGAGCAGTGTCTGGGGTGTGGGAGAGGGGTGAGTCCAGGCAGTGGCATTGGGGCGTTCTCATGCCTGATCCACCCCTTGGTGTCACCTTGGGCAAGCCCCAAACTCTCAGAGTTTCAGTATCTTCACTTATGAAATCGGGTTTTCTAAAACAAAAAAAGACCAGCGATACCGACCAAGTGTCTGCTCGGTCTGAAAGGCAGAGGTCTTGTCTCTGTCCCAGTTGCAGTCCCAGTGAACCCTGTTCTGCCAAAAGCAGGTTCTGTCAAAAGCAGCTTCTGCCAAAAGCAGGTTCTGCCCAGGATGACCACTTCCCCCAGGGCCTCCCATCACGGGCACATCATTCTCTTCTGAGAACCACGCCTACGCATCTACATCAAGCCAAGGACTGTTCCTCTCCAGGGTCCCCGTCTCTCTCTGGAGTGATGGGCAGGATCGTGTCCCCTAAAATGACTCTTCATCCCCGGGACCTCACAATGGGACCTTATTTGGAGACAGTGTGCTTGCAGATGTCATGAGTGAAGATGCGGTCATGAGGGAGGGCCCTAATCCATGACTGGTGTCCTAAGACAGAGGGGAAACGCGGAGGCAGAACCACCCACGGAGAAGATGTTGGCCATCCGCGAATCAGAGGCAGAGGCCAGCCCAGGCCACTTCTCACAGCCCCCAGAAGGGCCAGCCCTGCAGGTCCTTGATCGTGGACTCTGGCCTCCAGAGTGTGAGACAATAAGACCCTGTTGTTTAACAGAAGTGCCACCCCGTGTGCGGCACGTTCTCACGCAGATTAGAAACTAAGTGCCAGGCTGCTCTCCATTTACCAACCGGAGAGCAGTGTGACCTGGACCACTGGGTCTAAGGGGCCTCACGGGGACTCAGGAGGGTGAGGGCTGGAGCCTTGGATGGTGTGACTGCGTGTGACTCATCACTCAGCCTTCAGCAACTTTCTGAGGGGGCTCCGCCAAGGCAGGGGCTCTCCCAGTGGACGCCCTGCATGAGGGGATCTTTCGGGCTGGGGTTCTACAGCCTCGCTGGCTCCTGCTGGCCTCAGAGCAAGTCCCTTCCTGAGGGTGACAAGGTAGTCACCCCAGGAGGAGATGCCGTGGGCCGCCCCAGGGTCGAGTCGCCCTCCTCCCCACACTCCTGGGTCCCCTGGACTCACCACCCAGTGCTTGTGAACGATCATGGTCAGGATGATCTGGTACTGGAAGTACAAAGGGATGAGCAGCGGCGGCCCAACTGCAAGAGAGAGAGAGGAGAGGGGCTTGGGGCGACCTGTTCCACCCGGCGGGGCTGGGAGATGGGGAGGAACTGGGAGGGCAGAAGCCAGGATGTGGTGCCAGCTCTGTAGCTCCCGGGCAGAGGAGACTAGAACCTTGGCACCCTGAGAAGGGGGCTGGAAGTACCCGCTGGCACCCTGCCCAGGAAGCCCGAGTGCTGGCATCCGGGTGTCTGGGCCAGTGTCCCTTCTGTGTATCACGGGCCAGGATGGGTTTGTGGCTGTTGCTGCTCTGACAGCTTTGGTGTCACTTTCTGGGTCTGGAAGGGTGTCGGGTGGGAGCGGGGATGGACGGCCACACTGGGAAGGCGGTCGGAGTGTGGTTGTGGGGCGCCCCGGCACTCACTCAGGAAGAAGTACTCATGCTGGTGGTTGTAAGGCAGGTATTTCAGCTTCTTCTTGCCGTACTGAGGAGAGAAGCAGAGACTGTGAGCCCCCAGGACCCCTCGGACCCCCGCCTCCCATGCTCTCCTCCACCCGCTCTGCCGTCCCTGCTCCTTCCTCCCGCCCAGGGGGGCTTTCTGTCCATCTGCACCCTGGGCCCCTCTGGGCTCCCAGTTGCTCCAGTCAACACTTCCTCAGCCTTTGCTGGGCGCACCGATCCCAAGCTGGCCTCTCAGCTCAGGCGCTCCTCTGGAAGCTAGTGCTTCCAGAGCTGAAGCTCGGGGTCAAGTCACTGCCCACGGCCACACAAGAAGTGGGCTGGCCGGGATCTGAACCCAAGAAAGCGGACTCAGAGCCCATGAGACAGGCAGCAAATAAATATTTGTTGAATGAATGCACCATGGAACAAGGAACTGGGGTGGCGGGGGAGTGTGCAGAGGCACTCAGAGGGAGCTCCTTGGCCAGCTTGCACCCCTTTGGAGAGAGAAAAGCCCCTGGGTCCCCTTGAGGAGCTCCCTGAGCCCTCAGTGGCTGAGAGAACCCAGGTAAGGGCTCGGGAAATTGTTACCAGTTACCAGGTTGAGCCTCTAGTCCCTTGAGCTGCCTGCAATTTCCAGGCTGAGGCTTACCACTTGAGGTTCCAGGCCAGAGGGGATTACCACAGGGACTCTTCAGGACACACCTGGTCACCTGGTCTTACCCCGGGCACTCTGATGCCCAGGCATGCCAGTCAGGAGGGCTGAGAGGTCTGGCTGGGGTGTGGACATCCTCACTGTACCAAGCAAGTGTGAGCCAGGATGGGGGTGGGAGCGGGGAGACCCACAGCCCCACAGGGTCCCTGCAAGCCCCTTAATTCCAAAGTCCAGCCCCCCGAGGACTAGCCCACCCTGCTCCTTGGGGAATGAGACCAGAAGATGCCGCCCACAGAGGGGGACCTGCTCCTGCCTGCAATGCAGGGGGACTGTTCAGGGAGCCCAGGCTTGGGCTCTGCCTCTCACCAGCTGAGACTGTACAGGTCACTTAGCCTGCGTGAGCCCTGCTTGGCATCCAGTTAAGAGGAGTCAATGAGAACACGGGCATAAATGCCAGGGGCTGACCCCTGGGACATGGCTCTTTACCTGCCGGCCACCTCCCGCCGCCCCCAGCTCCAAAGGTCAGTGCCACCCTCATCACATGATGTCCACTCCTGCTTATTGCAGCTAGGAGAGCAAAGCATGTTACAGAGGGAGAAACCCGGATGTCCTCTTGGCCAATGCTCCCGTTCTCCAGGCACGGGATGGAGTGAGTGCCAGCATCACAGGGAGGGCCCACGGAGGAGCCCTGGGTGAGAGCAGAGCCAAGTCTGTCCCCAGGGCATTCATCTTGGCACCAGTGACCATGGGGCTGGCACACCCCGCTGAAGCACCGTCAGAATCTATCTGTTTGGTCCGTGTGGCCTCCTGTGCCTTGGCAGGGGTCTCCCCAAAACCCCAGAATGCACGAATCCTTTGCACGAAGGCTGTCGTTAAGGCTGAGGCTGGTTGTCCAGTGGTTACCTGCCAATGCCGGGGACGTGGGTTCAATCCCTGGTCGGAGAACTAAGATCCCACATGCGTCAGGGCAACTAAGCCTGTCTGCCATAACTACTGAAGCCCATGTGCCTAGAGCCCTCAAGCAGCAACAAGAGAAGTCAACACAATGAGAAGCCCTTGCACCCCAAACAGAGAGGAGCTCCTGCTCACTGCAACTAGAGAAAGCCCGTGCGCTGCAATAAAGATCCAGCACCGCCAAATAAACAAAATTTAAAAGCTCTTGCCTACTGATTGTCAGTTGGGAGGAGTCAGCCTTTGGACACGAGTCTGCCCTCTGCACCCCAGCCCCTATGCTGCCAGCCTCTGAAATAAAGGGAACTTTTCTTTCTACCAATCTTTCCTCTTATATATATTTTTAAAAAAAAGATCGAGGCAGGCCCTGGAGAGATCCCAATCAGGGCACCCCAGACACAGTCCTGGACAACGTTGCAGGGGAGGGAGGGATTAGAGGCACCCCGCTAAGTGAGTGGTCTGGTGGTCTGGGTTCTGGGGAGCGTGTGCTTCACAGAACAGTCCCCCTGCTCCCTCCCAGAAGCCAGGAAACAGGCCCAGACTTTGCAGGCTTCTCCAGCCCTGATAGGTGCCCTCCTCACCACACCTCTGCCCCACAGGTCGTCCCAAGGGACAGCCCCAGGCCCAGAGGAACCTCAGGCTGGCCCAGCTCTATTCTGGGAGTGAGCACTAGGGGCAGGATAGTCCCCACAGAGGGACTCGGCAGTGGGCACCCCGGGAAGCTGGTTTGAAGCTGCATTTGCACAGCGAGCACCCTGTCTGCAGTGATTCCTGGTGCCCTGTAGGGGGTGACAGGAGATTACCGGGCTGATGCTCCCTGGCTAATGCTCCCTGGCCAGTCAGTATTGCCAGCTCCTGCGTGCATCCCTTCAAGGGCCTAGACTGCCCTGTGGGAGCTGCCATGTCACTGCCCCCAGGCAGTGGCTGGCCCCTCTGCCCACCCCCGAGGGCTCCAGCTTTGCGGTGGGGGGTTCCAGATTTGGAAGCAATTTGTTATTTGAGCAAATTGCTTTGCAGCCCCCCTTCCCCTGCCATGAGATTTGGGTTTGTTATGGGTACTCCTTAGATCTGTTGAGGGCCGGTGGATGATGGGGCGATGAAAGCCCTTCAGGACTAAAGGAAGGCAGGTCACGGCTACACAGGCACCTGTGTGCCGCGATACACGGACCGTCACAGGGCATCTGATCCCATCCGGATGACCTCAGCTAGGGGGACTGCAAGATCGCCTGTCAGTGTGAGGCTGACCCAGGGCGCTAGCTTCCCCTCTGAAAACCAGCAAGCACAGCAGGGATTTGGGGATGCCAAGTCAGGTGTGGGCCCAACCTGGTTTCTTGACTTTCCCATGCTCAGCTCTCTGCAGCCGTCGGTTGTCTGCCGTGGGTGCAGGGAAGGGAGGGGAGAGGTGTCTTGGGATAAGAAACCCTCAGAGGAGGGGCTCTTGGCTTCTTAATACGTCAGGAAGCTGGAGGGATCCAAGAAACACAGGCCCCTAGCGTCCAGCAGGTGGTGGCCCCGGGCAGGGCCCTGCAGGGCCTGGAAGCCCTGGCTGCGAGTCATTCAGCCAGGGTTTGGATTGTGGCACTCACTGCCTTTTGTAGCTGTAGCCTTGAGCTAGTTATTTCACCTCTCTGAGCCTCGGCTGTCCCATCTATAAAATGGGCTGGATGAGAGCTCCTGCCTCACGGTTAAGCAAGGATTAAGTGACGCCCCACATGTGGTGCTCAGCATGGTGCGGGGCCCAGGGACTAAGCAAAAGTCAGCCTCCCCCTCCACGGGGGCCCGCAGGCCCTGGAGGGGATCCTGTAATCCTCTCCCCTGCAGGAGAGTCCTCATCACACGAGAAGAAAGCCTGGGCTCTGGGGCGGTCACAGGGGAGATATGCAGACTCAAACTGCAGGCGAGGCTCCGGGTAGTTTGTCGTGTCCAGACCCCGAGGCACGGCGGCACATGCAGGACCCGCTTTTACGTGTCCTCAAGCTGAGGCTGAAAGGGACGCAGGTCAGAGGCAGCGGCAGGGGGAACCCTGGTGGCCTGGCTTCCCGGAGGCCCACGACCCTGGGGGCCTGGCCAGCTGACCCCAGTGCTCCTCCTCTCCACGAACCACGAGGCCCGACTTGGATTACAGGCTGGGGGGGTGCCAGGGGCATGTACAGGGGACTTTTCAGCCTTGGAACAAAATATCTGAGCAACAAGGGCCTGCCTTGTCCGTTCAGGGTTGGGGGAGGGGGGCAGCTGGAGAGCCCTGCCTGCCTCTGGGAAAGTGCAGACTCACAGGCAGAGAAACGAGGAGCTGGCCACAGCAGGCATGCGAGGAATGGCAAGACTCCAGCCCAAGGGCCCCGGCTGCTCCAAGGGAATACTTGGCCTATTCGCAAAGGTAATCTGGAGGGTCAACTGCTGACAGGCCATGGGGCAGGGAGAGCCTCCCATGGGGTCTGAAAAGCAGGCTCTCAGACTCAGAGGCAGGCGGAAACACTCCTGGCTTCTGAGAATCCACTTACAGAGCTCCAAAAAAAAAAAAAAGTGGGCGGCAGGGAGCAAAAACAAGACTACCCCTGACATCACCACTATTCAATTCTGTTCTGAAGTTCTAGTAACGTTGTAAAGCCTAAACCAGAAATAAGAGTGGAGAGCTATTAGAAAGTGTCTAAATTTTCACTATTTTCCAAAAATATGATTGTCGACTCAGGAAATTCAAAAGAATCAACTGAAAAACAACTAGAATCACAAGCAGACATCAGTGGACCCTAGTTGGACATAAGATAACTAGCCAAATGGCAATAGTTTTCTTGAATACCACAGAAACCCCTATACAAAATATAGACATTATCTAGGATTCAGTTGAAAGAAATATGACCACAAGACATATAAAGAAGAGGAAAAGCTTTCTAAGAGGTATAAAAAAGAGACTCAAGTGTAAATGGAGAAAGATGTCGTATTTCTGGATGGAAATGATGTAAATTTTTTCTGGAAGGGGCAAGTCAGTCCACGACAAGCTCTTAGTGAGTTAGAAGGAGCCACGGATGCCCAAGTCACCCAGACAGTGTCTTGCACTGATGCTCAGTCCAGACCAGGTGCTGGGCTTCAGGAGAGGACACCTCACCCCTAAGCAGGTGCAACGTGACCCGGGAAGGGGAAACCAGAAAAACTGACTGGCTCCTGCAAGTTATGGACGTAGACCATCATCTTAGCCAAGCCTCATGTGGCCAAAGTAAAGCCTTCAAAAGTGAACCAAGGGACTTCCCTGGTGGTCCAGTGGTTATGACTCTGCGCTTCCATTGTGGGGGGCATGAGTTTGATCTCTGGTTGGGGAACTAAGATCCCACCTGCCACAGGGCCAAAAAAAAGTGAAACCATAAAGCACTGAAAATATATGAAGAACTTTCTAAGCATAAAAGAAAGGTTCTGGGACTTGCCTGTGGTCCAGTGGTTAATACTTCTCCTTTTAATGCAGGGGGTGTGGGCTTGATTCCTGATCGGGGAACTAAGGTCGCACAGGCCTCATGGCCAAAAAATAAAAATAAAACAGAAGCAATATTGTAACAAATTCAATAAGGACTTTAAAAAACGGTCCACATTCTTAAAAAAAAAAAGAAATCTTAGAAAAGTGAAACCATAAAACACTAAAAATCTGTTAAATACTTCCTAAGCGTAAAATAAAGATTCCTTCCAAGCAGCATGGTCCTGGCAACACCAGGAATCCAGGAACAGCTGGCCTCTTCCCGAGTATGTGAGAGAGCGTTTCACAGGGCACTATGGTCATGGTCTTAACGTCAATGGCAACGGGATGGCCAGATCCCCCAAACTTCCACTGCACGTCCCAAAAGTCAGCACTTGAGAGGCGTCCAGGGAGAGATGTTGGAAGGAGTTTCACAGCTACCACACAGAAAGAGACACCTTGGCAGCATCGCTGGTGAGACTAGGTTTTATTGTCAGAAACACAGAGACTACTTGTCAAGCCAGTTAACAGCTCTACAACATGAAGCCTCCCCGCCTAGAAAGCGAAGACTTTGTCTTTTTATCACATGGACTCCACTTAATCAGTCCTACTAATCTAGACACCTCAAATCAAAGCGAGCAAACTCGTTCCGAGAAGGAAAATGCAAGCATGTATTTTGGCAAAGAAAATCCTCGCACTTGAGAAGACTCGTTAGAGTCCCTTGGACTGCAAGATCAAACCAGTCAATCCTAAAGAAAATCAACCCTGAATATTCATTGGAAGGACTGATGCTGAAGCTGAAGCTCCAATACTGATGTGAAGCCACCTGATATGAAGAGCTGACTCATTGAAAAAGACTCTGATGCTGAGAAAGATTGAAGACAAAGGGGGATAGCAGAGGATGAGATGGTTAGGTAGCATCACTGACTCAATGGACATGAGTCTGAGCAGACTCCGGGAGACAGTGAAGGACAGGGAAACCTGGCGTGCTGCACTCCATGGGGTTGCAAAGAGTTGGACATGACTTAGCAACTGAACAACAACAACAAAGTCCCTGGCCAGCCAGAGAGGCTCCACATGTCCAAAGAGCCAAATTTTGGCTAATTTCCTCTGAACTGATGATGTCACAGAAAACTTATGTTTCTGCTCAAATATTCTGTTGGGCAGATATGAGATGGGAGGAGTGGGGTACCAACCAGAGTTGAGGAAACAGTCTCCCTCCTCTTCCTCTTTGAAGTCTTGGATGCCAACATTGCTGGGAATACAACCAGTTCAAGACACTGCTCCTTATGGAGGGTAAAAGTGCCTCTCTTGGCAAATGCTTATCAGGCCCCTACTCTGCACAGTTTGGTCACACTTAAGATCTACATAAAAGCAACAGGGATCTTTTAAATTTTGGTTTACATCATCAATGTATTTCAGAAAAGTAAAGCTTCTATAACATTTTTTTTTTCACCTAGAAGCTCTACTTAAAAAAAAAAAATTAAATGAGGAGAGTCTTTAAATCCTTTAAAAGCATTGGGCATGGCTTTATTCAAAGACTCAGCAACACCAAATTTTCCTGCCTTAGAAACACAACAGAGCACTGGACAGCCCCAAATGGAGGCTAATGCACGTGGACTCCAGCAAAGAGGCCCACATTTGGTGAAGAAGCCAGTTGGAGGAAAACTATCTAAGTTTGAATTTTTGTTTTTAAAAAAGATATGTGTGTCTATGTTTCTTCACACATAGAAAATACCTGGAAGGATTAGAGAATGCTGTCAATAGTGGTTACCAATGTTGACACCAACAGTGGTCACCAGTGTCAGGGGCATGACAACAGGAGGCACAGCAGGGATGGGAGAGAGAACAGGCGACTTGCTTCTCAGTCTGGTCAATTACTGTTACTACTTAAATGCTTACAACAGGTATGTCTACTTATAATAAAAAATAAACTAATATAAAACCAAGGCAGGGATTTTCCTGGTGTCCAGGGGTTGGGAACCTACCTACCTGCCAATGCAAGGGACATGGGTTTGATCCCTGGTCTGGGAAGGGACCCACACGCCATGGAGCAACTAAGCCCACATGCTAAAACTACTGAGCCCATGTGCTGTAACTACTGAAGCCCGAGTTCTGCAGCCCATGCTCCACAACAAGAGGAAGCACCACATTGAGAAGTCCTTCTACCACAACTAGAGAGAGAGTAAGCCCCCATCACCAGAACTAGAGAAAACCAGTGTGCACCAACAAAGACCCAACACAACCAAAAATTAAAAAAAAAAAAAAAAAAGACTTTGCCTTCCAGGGTAGGTGGTGAAGTTTCGATCCCTGGTCCAGGAGCTAAGATTCCAGATGCTTTGTGGCCAAAAAACAAAAACATAAAAAACAGAAATGATATTCTAACAAATAAAGACTGTAAAAATGGCCCACATTAAAAATATATATTAAATTAGTTAATTAAATAAATAAAATAAAGACAAGGCAGTGTGATGGAGTGGAAGGAAATGGCTCAGTTGTCAGATCTGGGGCCTCATCCTAGAATGGACACTAAACGATGTAACCCTGACCACATGCCCTCCTCCTGCTGATCTTCACTTGGCATCCGTGGTGAAGCAGATGGAACTAGACCCTGTGAAGGTCCCTCCAGCATCGGGGACTGTGACTCTCCAAGTAAGGTTTCCTGGAGCTTGGTTCAAGCATGAGCCTTGGAGTTGTGCCTTCCTGCCAAACTGTAAGGAACAAGCTAGGAAATGCTCTTCCCCAGCCCATGGGCATCAAGGAGGTATCTAACACTCTGATAAGGAGCTGCCTTTGTTTTTTAGGAGGCCATTCCATAGAAATTCCAGCTGGAATGACTCAGGGTGTCCAGGAAAGCTTTCTGTGTAAATATCAGACACAGAGGTGTCTGTCTGACTCTCCACCCTGCGGTCCCTCCCCTGATTCCTGCGCAAGCCAAACACTCCCTTGGCTACCCTGTCCCCTTCATCTGTACCTCGATGGGCTGCGATTCGCCCAGGACAAACACATGCAGCATGTTCACGTCGGGATCCTTGTGGAAGACGTTGGGTTTGGCATGGTGCTGGAAGTGGCGGTGGTTCCACCAGTTGGCAGAGGCACCCTGTCAGGGGAGGAATAGCGATGAGCAGGGCAATCCTGGCAGCGGGGGCGAGGGAGCCCAGGACCCGCACGTCTTGGGACCAGATCCTAGCAGGTCCGATACTCAGGTCCCAAAAGTCAGAAATTGACTCTGCAAGTGCTGGGTCCAGAGTGCTGGGTAGCCCCTTGGCCAGGACTTCTGCATGGAGCCAATTTACGCCACCCCTCCACCCTGATCATAAGATGGTGCTGGTGATGGATGGAGAGGCAAGCACTTCAGCACACGTTGGGGGGCCTCAGCTGTCCACCAGTCCCAGGGGGGAGGCTAACACCCCTCATCCTCTGCTTGTCTCTCATTTGTGCCTATTGTGCAGAGGGGAACACTTCCATTTGGGGAACAGTAAAAAGTGTTCCCTTACCATATGGACCCAGCACTGTGCCCTTAGGTATGTGTACTCAAAAGAAATGAAAACATGGCCACACAAAAACTTGTACACAAACATTCCCAGCAGCATTATTTAAAATAACCAAAGCTCATGCCCTGAAGAAGGGATAAACACTATGTGGCAGACCCAAATGGAATCTTGTTTGGCCATGCCATGAAAAGGTGTGACGTACTGACACACACTACAGTATGGATGAACCTGAAAAGTATGACGCTAAGTGAAAGAAACCAGCCTCAAAGGAGTCTATTTACAATGTCCTGAGATTCCATTTACATGAAATGTCCAGCATGGGGGAAATCCATGGACAGAAAGATGAGTGGTTACCTAGTTCCAGGGTTGGGATGAGGGGTTTGGAAGTGACGGCTAAGTGGTGTGGGGTTTCTTTTCAGGGTGATGAAGATGTTCCAAAACTGACTGGGATGGAGGGTGCACAAATCTGTGAATATACTACAAGTCATGGATTTGCACATGTAAATGGGCAAACTGTAGAGCTTGTGAATTAGATCAAGAAAGCTTAAAAAAAAAATGAAGACCACAAATGGCTCCTGCTTTCAGAGGGCCCAGAGAGTAGCTGGCAAGAGACAGCCCCACAGCCAGAGGGGCCACTGCACTGAGAAGTGACCACTGGGTCATGTGGGTGAGTCACACCATGTCCAAACGGCTTGGGGGAGCTTAATAAACAATCACCAACACAAGCAGGTAAGAGCTTTCTGCTTCCAACAGGCAAATGATAATCCCAGGTAACTCCCTGGCAGTCCAGGGATTAGAGTTCCAAGCTTTTACCACAGAGGGCCAGCTTCAGTTCCTGGTCAGGGAACTAAGATCCCACATGCCGCACAATGTGGCCAAAAATAACAAAAAATTATAATAAAAGTCATAATAAAATTACAACTCTAGGAGACAAGACGCATTACATGAGTATTTCTTTCAAGGCCATGAATTTCTGTCTCACCAGCTGCAACTGCAGATGTATTTTGAGGGCATGTCCCTCCATGGAGTCACCCAGTCATACAAAGAAGGAAACAAAACCCTCTGACTCGTCAGCCTGAGGGTTTCATGGGTGAGCAGCTGCTGAATCAATCAATGCTTTGGCCTAGGGTTTGGCCATCTACTAAAAGGCCTAATTGCAAAAACAAACATTTTACTTGGAAGATGTTTGGGTACAAACGCAGTCTCTGGACCCTAAGGGCCAAGGGCGGGAACAGCTCTGAGCAGCTGTGGCCTTTGCAATGACCTCAGGTCTCTGGGCCTCCAAACCCAACAGAGCAAAAATAAAAAATAACAGCAAATGAGAGCTTAGAGGATTGGAAAATGAGATGATACATTGGTCTTTCTAGCCAAAAGAAGCCAAGTTCCTGGGAAAAGCACAATGGAGTCCATGGTACAAAGGAATTAAGGAGCAAGGTATGTGAAACATGAGGTTTAGAATATACCAACCAAGAGATGTTTGTTGAATGAATAACTGGAGGAAAGAAAGAGGGGCTGTGAGCACCTTAAGGATGAGATGTGGCAAGGTGGGGCCACCCCCGAACTTGGCACGGGGTGTAATGATGAAGTAGCTTTTGATGGTGCTCTTCTCTGCTGATTCTCTTCTATTCTTCTTCACTAGGCCCAACTTTACATACCATTCCTGGGACAGGGCAGCCCTGCCTGCCTTGGAGCCATGATTCAATGATGCCTGTCCCGGGGATGGAGCAGGGAAGGAGGCCAGCCCTTGTCTACCAAGGAAGAGTAGGGCCTCCCTCCACACTGGGGTGCTTTACCCCACACTGGGGTTGGGTGGGTCTCACTCCACAGTGGAATGTGCTGACAGAGCTGTAAAAGTTTTGGGAGGCCACTCAGAAGGTCTGCCCCTGGGCAGCATACTGGGTAGGAGGGGGCAGACAGAGTGAGGGTCCCTTTTCTGACAGAGGCGGGGTGACGGCCTTGGGGGAAGGGGAGCGTGAGCTGTCACAGAATAGGAGAGAAAGCCTCCTTGGTTGGCGCCTGCAAGGGTTGGCAGAGCCATAGTAGAGCCTCATTAACAATATTTTCAAAAATCTATCACCCTTTTGCTCATCTTGTTTTGAAACGAGAGAACTGCCAAGTTTGTCGATCTCTCTCAACCAAGCAACAGTCAAGTAATTTTTAATTAAATTAAGTTGAAGTAAAATAATAATAAATTTGGTTTCAGTATAAATAATAAACTTAAACTTCATCTTGGGGCTTTTTATATACCACCTTTCCAAATTTTAAGTAGCTTTCAACTACTTTAATTCTCTGGTGAACAAAATGCAACCAGTTTAAAAAAAAAAAAGAGAGAACACATAAAAACATGTATGTAAGATACAAGTTGTCCTTCGGTTTCATATTCCAATAAGTCTCAAAGTCCTAATATTTATTTAAAATGTTGGTATTTTGTTCATTGTGGATTTTTTTTTTTTTTTTGCATTAATTTTACTTAGACAAAAAAAAAATTGCATGGCAGCCTGGATAGGAGGGGAACTTTGGGGAAGAATGGATACATGTATATGTATGGCTGAGTCCCTTTGCTGTCCATCTGAAACTATCACAACATTGTTAATCAGATTATACCCCAATATAAAATTTAAAAGCTTCTAAAATATTGCATTAAAATGCTACTTATTTCATTCCTGATTCTTTTTGTCATCGCTTAAATTTTGCGTTCCTGGGACACACTTGTGTGCTCACTTGCCTCACCTTAGTCCCAGCCCTGGTGACCCCAGATAAGGCTGAGGAAAGACTTGTGGGTTCCAAAGATTTCCATTTCCAGATGCAGTCTAGATGGTGCCAGGCCTGGCGGTTTGCATTTTATCCTGAGTGCAATGCCAAATAGATGCTCACCCTCACAGAACCATGTCTGTACAAGGTTAACCCCAGGAAGAAATGGCCACTTGAAGTGACATGGGGAGAAATGGCTGCCGGAAGTGATGGGGACCAAAGGAAAAGGCGTAGTCGAGAGGTGGAGGGCTCACCCGGGGAATCCCACGGCAGCTTGGGCTGGCATTAAGAAGTGGGTCCCAGCATCCTGAAGCTCCCAGCACCCCGTTCAGGGCCCTCAGTGGGCTGAGCTAAGATGTCCAAGTTGGTGGGGTCCTTGAAGACTATGATAGGACCATGTGCCCACCACGTGCCAGAGCGATGCCGTGAAAGCCAGAATGCTCCTCGCTCTGGGGCACCCCTGACTGAGCTGCCCAGTTACGCCACTGGCTTGGACACAGCACGCAGGACACAGCTAGCAGGGAGCTGGCAAGCCATCAGCAGAACCCAGGGCCCTGACCTCCTAGAACCTTCCAGCCCGAGTACCTCGTCACTCCAGATTTCATAAATCAACGTTCTACAAGAAGGCCAGTCCCCTGTCCCGACCTCATCTTCTAACACAAGAGCTGTGTCCCAGAGCCCTTCAAGGTTACACAGACATCAGGAGGGACAGGCCCTCCCGGCTCCCACCCAGAATCTGGAAACAGGACAAAGTTCATCTTTGTTAAGTGTGTAGGGATAACCTGGGTCTGGAGTGAAATGTTACTCTCAACACCGAGGAGGGTTTTCTCCAACAGAAAAGGGAATAAAATGAAACAAAGCCCTCTACTATGTGCATCCTTCACCCCTGAAGTTCTGGAAAGAAACCAGGTTCTCAGACAGCTCCAGGCTCAGGGCCAGGCAAACTGCTTACTAAGAAACTGGTTACCAGTTCAGTGGTGATTCACTCCCAACCAGACCCTGAGCGGACAAGTGAAAGACTGGATGTTGTTGGGTTGCAGGGGTTGACATTAACCCAGACACGTAGCTTTTCCCAAGCCAAGGTAGGGAAGGACAGGAGTCTTTGCAGCTAGATGCTGCTGGGGTAGTGCTGGGCAGGAGGATGAGAATCTGTTTCAAAGGGAGACTTGGCAAGGACTTATTTCCAAAACCAAAGAGATAATGCCTATCACATGAACACAAGGTCGCTGGCAAGTCCAGTTCATCTTTGTACAAACTTGCCAAGCTACAAGGCTGTTGCAGGTCTGCCTCTTGATCTGTAGGGTGATGAGACAGCTACCTGCCCTTCTGGGTTTTACACAACTTTTGCCCTTTGGCTCAGTACACTGTTTGAAGTCTCTTATCTAAAGACTTAAGAGAAACACGAGGTCTCAGATATAAAACATCACCTGATGGAGGGAGCATACCGATGTATCAAGAGAGATTGCTTCTTCAGATGCAAACTATTATATATGGAATGAATAAACAGCAAGGACCTACTGTGTAGCACAGGGAACTGTGTTCATTATCCATAATGGAAAAGAATATGAAAAAGGAATGCAGGAATGTGTATATGCTTGCGTGCTAAGTTGCTCAGTCATGCCCGACTCTTTGTGACCCTATGGACTGTAGCCCACCAGGCTCCTCCTTCTGTCCAGGGCATTCTCCAAGCAAGAATGCTGGAGTGGGTTCCCTTTTCCTTCTTCAGGGGATCTTCCTGAACCAGGGATCGAACCCTCGTCTCTTACATCTCCTGCACAGGCAGGTGGATTCTTTACCGCTAGTGCCACCAGGGAAGCCCACCAAGGAAGCCCACATATAACTAAATCACTTTGCTATACAGCAGAAATTAACAGAACATCGTAAACCAATTCTGCTTTAATTAAAAAAAAAAAAAAGAGCGAGAGAGACTGCTTCTTTACTGGTTCCAAACTGAAAGGAATTTATCAGTAAGTCCTTAGGTAAGGAACAAATACAATCAACTAAGAAACATGTGCCTGTTTGCACAACCACTACCCTAGTTTTGTGTGTCTAGTGTGGTTAGGAGACAGGCCTTGGAAGCTCAGAGAAGCAGAGGGTTGGCAAGTCCTGCAGCTCACCCAGGACACTGACCGGAGTGGTGACCTGGTCCAAGATGGCAGTGTGCCCACCACTAATTGATGGAATGGATGCCCAGGGTGGCCAACATTTACCTTTAAGTGACCGATGATGAACTTGTGGGCGATGTGGTTCCACATGGACTTCTTATAAACAGAGAGGTGGCCGTAATCGTGTTGCAGCCATCCAGCCTGGGCCTGGGGAAAGAGGTCCACAGAGACTTTCAGAGCGTCGGCACCTAGGCACCAGGCCTCTGCCAGCTGAGGGAGGCAGGGGGCGGGGACTTCAAGTGACAGGTGAGGATGTCACGCCTCACCTGAGAGGTAGCAAGGACGAAGGCCGTAATGATGGTTGGAATCCAGCCGTTGCCAAAGTAGAAGAGAGTGAACCAGGCGATGCTCTCCATGGCGATGATGTGGGCCAGGTGAAGAAGGAAGAAGAGCTGGTTGCTCTTGAACAGGTTCATGTCCTCAGCGGTCTTCCTCAGGGCCCGGAAGTCCTCGGTGATCTGGGACTGTTGAGCCAGAGCACGAGGAAGGAGTCAACCGCCCAGCTGCTCCAGGGGGGACAAATCCACACACCCAAGCCCCAGAGGAGCCCAGTTGCTATGCACTATAATGGCTGCTGTTGCTCTGTACCTGCCTGGACCTGGCACAGCCTTGGAACTATGTGTTTGCCCACAGCCAGTTCAGTGGCAGAGAAAGGATTTCACTCAAAGTGCTGTCCATTTTGTGTAGCGGCATTATTCAAGATAGGCCAAAGACAGAAACAACCCAAATTCTATTAATGGAGGAAGGGCTGAATAAAATGTGGTGCATACATACAATGGAATATTACACAGCCTTCAAAAGGGAGGGAAATGATGACACATACTGCTAATGAGCAAACCCTGAAGACATTAAGCTAAGTGAAATTAAGCCAGACATGAAAAGACAAATATTTATGAGTCCCCTTCTAATGATGTATCTAGAAGAGATTCTTCAGTGGAAAGAATAGCGTTTACCAGTAGCTGTTGGGAGGGACAGATGGGTAGTTAATGTTTATTGGAAACAGAATCTCAGTGTGGGGTGATGACAAAGTTCTAGAGACAGATGGTGGTGATGGTTGCACAACAGTGTGAATGTACTCAAAGCCACTGAACTGTGTATTTCCAGAGAGTTAAAATGGGGAATTCCCTGGTTGCCTAGTGGTTGGGATTCCACCCTTTCACTGCTAAGGGCCCCGATTCAATCTCTGGTAAAGGAAGTGAGATCCTTGCAAGCTGCCCAGCACAGCCAAAATAAAATAAATATTTAAAATAAATATTTTATTTAAGAAAGGTTAAAATGGTAAATTTTATTATGTCTATTTTACACCATTTTTTTCTTTTTTTAAAAGTTTCGGGACTTCCCTGGAGGTCCACTGATTAAGACCATGCTTCCACTGCTGGGGATGTTGGTTCGATCCCTGGTCAGAGGACCTAAGATCTCACATGTGGTGTGGCCAAATACATGAACTAAATTAAATGATAAAGAAGCTTATGTTTCCCACTACCTGACGTGCACCCCTTGTTCTGAACACTCTATCAGACAGGAGAAGGCTCCGTGCGCTGGGCACACGGGAAGCAGAGTCAAGGGTGGGTCTGGGAAAGAGGGTATCACTGGGAGAAAGAGGGAAGCTAGGAGGCAGGGGCAGGGCATGAGGGGGAAGAAAGCCCAGATATAAGGGCAAGTGACTGGGGAAGAGAGAAGCCCTCTGTGCCCAGCCTGGCGCCACTGAGGCCCCAGAGGTAGAGAGGCTAGGAATGAATTACTCCAAGGGCAGGGGTGGGGGGCAGGCCTAAGCTGGCACAGGAGGAAGAGGGCGCACCAGGGCCAGGGGAGTCCTCCCTGACCCCAGGTGACGAGCAGTGGTTCTCCCTGGACAGGCACAAAGGCTCCTACCCCGTACCCTACGCTCACCATTTTAGGGCGATCCCCTCCCCTCCTTCCTCATCTGCTCAGACTCACATTCTTGCCGCGGTCCTGGCTGGGCTCCTCAGGGGCCAGCTCGCCAATCAACAGGGGCTTCATGAACTTGCGCACGAAATCAAGGTTGCGGTGGAAGGCCAGGAAGGCGTCCTGGAGAGCAGGGGGCAGGTGGTGAGTACCTCTACCCCGGCTCCGGCCAGCGCCTCCACCCCAGGAAGGGCAGGGCTTGCCAGCAGAAGCTCTGTGCCACTAGGACAGCAGGACCCCAAACGGGGCATCCATGATCCGACCCCAAGTGTTCTCTGAGCCTCCTCCTGGCAGGTCCCTCGGCGCCGGACTCCCATGGAGATACCACTTGCAGCTGCACCGTGATGAGGGGCCGCTGAGCTCACCAAGGATGTTTACCAAAAAATGTGCCCCTCCAGGGATGTGGGCTGGGCAGGGCTGGGAACCAAATTCTCCGAGGGCTACACTGCCACCCACCACGCGGCGCACACAGCTGTCAGCAAAGAACAAGCCTGGAACGTACCACAGGTATGCAAAATATGCTTAGATGATGCTATACCCAAAACAGATACACGATTACATAAACCCATTGGTGGGAGGAGCTCTTTCATATTTTGAAAAGGTATGAAAATAATTATGAAGATTATGAAAGCTTTTTTATGCAGATCTCTAAACTGTTATGTGTTAAGCCTGTGGCATCAGGCCTTGCTTTATCTGCGTTACTTTCCAAACTCTCTAATACTGCTGCATTGCTTTTAAAATTAAAAGAATGAATGCTGTGCCTTTTAATCTTTTTTTCCAACTATTAAGCAATGTGGATAATTTTGGCAAATTCACAAAATGTACAGAAGAATAAAGAGGAAAATTAATATCACTCAGAGAATGACTACCACTGCTAATATATCAGGATTTTTTTTCCCAGTTTTTTTTCCTATACATGTATGTTACATAAAACAAATATAGCATTTCTCTTAGAGATGAGCTGACAATAGAGTCCCCTACCTCCATAGTATGCAGTGTGAGGTCACAGTGATAAACAGTGTTCCCCTTGCATCAAACAAAGCGTCAAGGTGCACCTGAAACTAACATCATACTGTGTGTCCCTGCATAGTCAATAAGTCATGTCTGACTCTGTGCGACCCCTGGGACTGTAGCCCACCAGGCTCCTCTGTCCATGGGATTCTCCAGGCAAGAATACTGGAGTGAGTTGCCATGCCCTCCTCCAGGGGATCTTCCTGACCCAGGGATCAAGCCCACGTCTCCTTCATCTCATGCATCTCCTGCAGTGGCAAGCAGATTATTTACCATTGAGCCACCTGGGAAGCCAACATAATACTGGACATCAACTGTATTTCAACTTAAAATTTTAACAAAATCAAGTTTTGAGACTGCTTGGAGAGAAGAACAAATCAAATGACACCATGAGAAACAATTGGAAAAATCAGTGCAGTTGTAGAAAAGTGAGGATGTCTGTGTGTGTGTAGGAGGTGTGGGGGAGGAGGGGCCATAGATTAAAAGAGACAGAAAAAGATATAACAAAAAACTATAAAAATTGCAGTATTTGATTTGAAAGGCTCCTGTTTGGGGTGGGGGGAACCCAGCAGTTCTCCAAGACATTCTGCGGTTGAATGAGAAATTTGGAATATGGACAAGATAGCTGGTCATATTAAAAGAATCACTATTGAACTTCCCTGATGGTCCAGAGGTTAAGAATATGCCTGCCAGTGCAGGGGACAAGGGTTTGATCCCTGGCCTGGGAAGATTCCATATGTTGCTGGGCAACTAAGCCCACAGGCCCTAGAGCTTGCTCTACAACAAAAGAAACCACTGCAGTGAGAAGCCTACACCTCGAAACTAGAGAAAAGCTGGCAAGCAGCAACAAAGACCCAGCACAGTCATAAATAAATAATATTAAAAATTAATAAAGAATCAGTATTAATTTTATTAAATGTAACCAAAGTATTGAGATCCTGTTAGAGAATGTCCCTGTTCTTAGAGGATGCTGAAATGGCATAATAATGATGCAGTTTATTTTCATATTATTTTCATACGATTCAGCAAAAAACAATGCATATATGCATAAAGAGGAATATGAAATGTGGCAAAATGTTGAGATTAGTGAATCTTGGTTAAGGATACACAAATGTTCAATTCTTTCAACTTTTTTGTATATTTGGAAATTTTCATAACTTAAGAAAAAACAAGGAAGAAATGAGGAAGATGCTGACAACTCATAAAAGTGTGTTCAGCCCCCGTGCCCAAGTATCTCAAAAGGGTAATTGCCAGTCTTCTTCCGTTTCCTGGCATCAAGCCCTTCTGCCTGGTCTTTATTCTATTTGTGTCTAGAACAGACTGACAAAGCAACACTTTGTACAGAGGAAAACTGGGCCCGGAGTCTTTTAAAAATGTCTGCACCCCTACCTTGCTGAACCAGAAGGGATGGTAGCAGAAGATCTGAGCAAGTACCCCTTCAGAGAAGAGATGGGCTGCTATTGCAGGGGCCCGGATCAGGCAGTGAGGAGCCTGGGGTCTGCTCTGGGCCAGCAGGTACCTCCGCCCCTCCCCTGCCTCCATCTCCTCTGCATGTGGCCTTGGTGGTAAGGCAGTGAGCATGCGGGCGTGCTAAGTTGCTTCACTCGGGTCCGACTCTTTGTGACCCCATGGACTGTAGCCCCCCCAGGCTCCTCTGTCCATGGGATTTCCCAAGCAAGAATACTGGAGTGGGTTGCCATGCCCTCCTCCAGGGATCTTCCCACCCCAGGGATCGAACCTGCATCCCAGGCGGCTCCTGCATTGCAGGCAGACGCTTTACCACTGAGGCACCGGGGAGCTGGCCTGCAGTGAGCACAGCCTTCCAAATTCAGAGCTGAGAAAGGCCCTGTCACTGCTTCACCTCAAATGACACCACAGCTTTTGAAAAAAGGGGAAGTTCTCGGTATGGCAGTTTCCTGACGAACAACGGCTGATAATAATGAAACAATCTCTACTCTGCCAGGCCATCACCTCTCACCCAGCGCCCATGGCCTCCCCCAACCAGGTCCAGGTCACATCTCCCAGCCTCTGCCTGGATTAAGGAACCTGGTGGAGCAGATAAGACTCCTGTCCTGACCGAGGCCACCCCTGGGCCATCTCCAGAGGCCAAGGGAGAGGAAGGGCCACAACATGCCAGGTGGGGAGAAAGGAAAGTGGTCTCCATTACCTCCCTGAAGCCTCAAGCCCCACTTTACAGATCAAGGCACTGGAGCCTGGGAAGGTGACATTCATTCAAGTGGCATTGTTGTTTAGTCGCTCAGTCATGTCTGACCCTTTTGGGACCCCGTGGACTGCAGCCTGACAGGCTCCTCTGTCCATGGGATTCCCCAGGCAAGAATACTGGAGGTGGGTGCCATTTCTTTCTCCAGGGGATCTTCCTGACCCAGGGATCGAACCCAGATCTTCTGCATTGGCAGGTGGATTCTTAACCACTGAGCCACCAGGGAAACCCTCAGGGTCAAATCCAGGTTCACCCGGCCCAGGGACCACATCCCCGCAAGCCTCACATAGGCTGAGAAAGCCAGGCTCTGTTAATTGTCTCACTGTCTACGGCAGATGCAGCAGCTTTCCGAGCAGGCCTGGTGGAAACTACCTGGGAACCTGCCAAGCTGGTTACCATGCTCTTCTGCCTGGCGACCTGCTTCGTCAGCATCTCAGGGCTGGCTTGTCCCAACTTACCACCCCATCTGAAAGAACCACGCCCTAGTCCCATGCTTTCTGGGACATCACCCTGCTTTACCTTCTTCATAACCGTTATCAAAAACCACAAGTTATATTACATGCTCACTTCTTTATTGCCTGTTTCCCCAACTAGAACATAAGCTCCACCAAAGGGCCAAGCCTGTCTCGTTCACTGCAATAACCTTAGTACCAACGGCGATGTTCCAACGATGTGGGGTTCACAGGATCCCACAGCTGTGCACCCTCTCAGCTCAGCAGACTTTTCCACTCTTCAGCCATTTTGCACCTCTTGTGCTTCCAGAATATCATTGCCTTCTTGGTGGCTGAGATTATGCAGGTCAGCCACTGCACCATGGATTTTGTGTACCCATGAATCTTTACTTGTGCCGCAGTTCCTAGTTTAGAGGTGAGAAAAGAGACTGATGGAGGTGAAGCCAATGGGTCACGTTCCAGGTGCACCTAACTCTAGACTTTTCTGCTTTTCATACAAAAGTGAAAGTGATAGCTGCTCAGTGGTGTCCAACTATTTGTGACCCCATGGACTGTAGCCTGCCAGGCTCCTCTATCCATGGGCAAGAATACTGGAGCGGGTTGCCATTTGCTCCTCCAGGCGATCTTTCTGACCCAAGGGTTGAACCTGGATCTCCTGCATTGCAGGCAGATTCTTAACCATCTGAGCCACCAGGGAAGCCCTGTTCATACAAAGGCCTCGATCAAAATGAACTTCCTCCTCCTGAAAGTTGACCACTTTTTGTGTATCCCCCTTACAAGTGTCACAGGTACGCCTCACAAGGTTGCAGGGGGCTCCCAGCAGCTGCTTGGTTAAAGCATCTGACTGACACAAGGTAGGCCAAGGGGCAAGATAGTACAGACCAATCCAAATGTTGACTTTGGAATAAGAACTGGAAGCAGGCTTTATCCTTCTCTGGCAGGGAGATTGCAACCAAAGACTTTACAGGAAGGCCAGGGACATAGGTGAAGGGGAGGGAGTGGCCAACGGTTGGGGAGCAGGGGAGGCAGACCGACCCCCAGGAGGGTAGATGTGTGTATTAGATCCTAGGGAGGTTAGGCTGTAGATAAAGGACCAAAACACCCAGATTCCCCAAGGCAAGACCTTCACCAGTTCCTACTTCCACCATCTCCCATTTCCCATGCCAGCCCTTTCTGCATGAAGAGATCCTCCCTGCCCAGCCCTCATGCGCTGAGCAGAACTCACAGCTCCTCCTGCACTGACCATCAGGTGTCACAGTTTATTTCTGACTGTGTCCACCTCTGCGGCGTGCTGTGTGTGTGTGTGCACAGTGGTGTCTGACTCTTTGCAAGACTATAGATTATAGCCCGCCAGGCTCTTCTTCTGCCCATGGGATTTTTTTCCAGGCAAGAGTACTGGAGTGGGTTGTCATTTCCTACTCCAGGGGATCTTCCAGACT